GATGTCTGTATTGACTGGGAAGGAACTAATACATAATGGTTCTACATTTAATTTCAAGTTTGGTCTAACATGCGCGTAATTATCAGACGTATTAGCTATTGTAAGATTAATTCGATTATTATGTTTTATTTTGACAATACAGTTGGAAATTAATAGATCACTGGATAAGTGTTGGTCTGCTATAATTCCTTCCTTGAGATTGGTTTCTTGGACAGAGCATTCGATGACGGATTCGGTACGGGGTGGAATTATATAAAAGGGTTTGGAGAAGTGTAGTTTTACAATTTGGTTGCCGATTCTCAACACATCATTGGTGTAATCGATTTTGCAACCAAACGTAGTAAGGAAATCTGTACCGATGATGCCATCATAGGGTAGGTCGATATTTTTTACGACATGGAATTTAAAAGGAATGGACATCCTTTGGGATACTTTTAAAGTTAATTGGAAGTGACCTTCAGTGGTCGTTGGCTCATTGCCTGGGTCAATACCCTTGAGTTTGATCGGCTCTTTAATAAGCCTGGGAGGTTTACTAATAGTGGAATGTTTTAGTAAATACAAACAGACAGGATTTTTGTTTAATTTTATTTTATTTCGTTTGATAGTAGGTCCCTAAGGATATTAAGAACGTTATTACTGCAATATGAACATAAACAAAGTTAGATTAGCTCAGACTTTAGTAATATCTAGTACTTAAATAGTACATACTATATGATATTATTATGTACATAATCTACACATTACTTATTTGTTAAATGTGTTAATTAATATGAAAAAACCCGAATATTTTCCCATTCGGGAATTTTCCCCGGGTTTTTTCCCAGTTTTTTCCCATATTCGGGTTTTTTCCGGGTAAAATCCCATCTCTTACAACTGTGACTACCTACCTACTTCATTATTTACTGACAAGTGCGTGTCAACGAGACGATAATCACATCGTCTCTTTCTTACATGTTATAATCGGCTTAGAAAGGTAAATAAATACGTACTTTCGTATTTTTCGACGACGAATTTCTTAACTTATAAATTTTTTATTCATAATTTGGTAATTTGAAAAAGTGCTATCTATGTAAAAAAATCGAACTACTACAACATTCTTTGTGATATCGATATTGGTACAATTTCCGTGTCAAGTAGACGATATTGTCATCCTCTCTTTCTTAAATGTGGTAATCGGCTTAGAAAGGTAAATAAATACGTAATTTCACATTAATTCGATACAAATGTCAGACTCCTTAATAAATTCGTAATTTTAATAAATTTTGATTCATAATTTGAAGAAATTGTAATAGTGCCATATATGGAGAAATTGCCGAACTACTACAAAATGCCAAACACTCTTTGTGAAATCGATATTTGCACAATTTCACTGTTGGTATCACAGCCACCAGCAGCGCCGCCACCCAACTATTGTGTGAGCGTGGTTCGTGTAGGAACTACTACTTCTTTGCAAACAAAACAATTTATACCTCTACTTGAGCTTTACGCAAAATGTTGTTTTGATTGGTTTTCTGAGTGCAAATAAATAAATTGAAATTGTAACCGTAAATGAATTATGGACAATTGCAGCAGTAAGATCTGTGCTGGTGATGTGTGTTTAAATTAATTAAACGAGTGAAAGATATCCGTGTTGTCCTTTAAAGATTTTTTTTTTAAAACTATTAGATACTTGCTACAAATGTTATCTACTCAGTTTAATGCATTTTTTTACTATTAGTAAAAAATACATCTAAATATTATTTTTATTTTATTTTAATGCAAAATATGCAATAATTTCATAAGTATTCTGACTTAATCTCTAGTACCGTCAAATTGACCGCTGCGGTAGTGCGGTCTTTGAAGGTATAGCATGAATCCCGGCCCTTCTAGTGTTAAGGCGTAAACTAAACGTATGTGTGCCCGGATCAGCCCCGGATCAGCCCGGATATAAGAAACGAAGTAAAAAAATAACTAACACTATCTATCGACAATTTGAGAAAAGAACTATAAATTTCCGATCAACTTATTCCTAAATTCTACAACAATAGTCTAGCAAAATATAAAAACTCCACATTTGACTAGATCCGTAATTTTCCATCCTTAATTTAAAACACAGTTTATACAAGTCCCTGGTAACGGACACCTGTCCCTAGTAAAAACTCGTGGTCCAACTAGTTGGACAGAGCAGTTGGACTACTGCCCCGAAAAGAGAATATTTTAATTGACATAAAATAAATCATTTCTATTGAACTGGCTAGGTACTTAATTGGATTCGGTGGGAATTTCACTTCAAACGGGACAGACGTAATTAACATAATGTGATATATGGATGACAGTAGAGACCGCACTCGATGCAATTGTATAAAAGACAGGTATGGGATGCGGTCGTCATTTAGAACTTGATGATTGAAACTGTATTTCGGTAATATGTATTATGGTGAGCATTTAATTTTATGCTGTGTTTGATGTGGCGGTATGTGAAATGAATAAATTTCATGAGTTTCAGCTCATTGACAATTTTAAATCAATGTGGTTGGCGGTGTGCTATCCATAATAAACTTTTATCGAGTCAGGTAAAAAGTTAAATCAATGAAAATAAATCTTGACATCTGTAATAATAGGTTCAATTATTATTCAGCGGTAGCTATTCTACCTCTTTGTCAAATTTTTATATCGAAAAAAGCATAATATAATGCAGAATATCGAAAGTATAAAAAGATATCTCGTTGCATGTCATGCTTCACCTTCCAAGGTGATCACTTCCCTGAAGGCATGGCGGTGCTCAGCCCACGCAGGGCATTACCCTACTATGTGTTCCACCGTGTCCTCAGGGCAGTCCTCGCAGTGATGATACCCGGGCGTTTCCTCCCGCCCCATCAGACACAAGTACCTCCTACTTCCTTGTCCGGTTCCTACCTGATACTTCCATGTCCGGTGAGGACCTGAGTCAGGCGGTAGGTGAGGACGCCGTAGGGTCTCCTCAAAGAGGAGACTTACCGCTGCAACGGCAGGGGTTAGGCTTACCATAATTTACGCATTAAATCTAGTGTAAGGACGGTATTGTTACTAGTACTATGTAGCTTTAACCATTAAGGTTGCAGTTGCGACAGAAGCTTAAAAAATGAAGCTACTTCCCCCGTTTTCCTAACATTTCCCTTCACTGCTCTGCTCCTTTTGATTGTAACGTGATGAAAACTACATCGAGACGCGCGGCCGCGCGTCAGCCAAGTTCACCAAACAGCGCGCGCCACAGTGTATCTTTACACGAACCACTTCGTGCCACTTCTGACCCCTCTATAACTCAAAAACTATTTAACGTAAACACATAAAACTTCGTACGTTTAATTTTATCCGTAAGGACATGTAGAATCCAAAATTTCATGAAGGTAGCTCAAACGGTTGTAAAGATATGAAGGTCGAAAGTTCGCAAATTTTAGTATTGACTGACTGACATATAGTAGCAAATTCTAACCTACTTCCAGATGACCTAGAACCTTGAAATTTGGAATACAGCTCGGTTATTGTGTGTAACCATAAAAAGGGAAAAATCCAAAAATAACAAAAAGTTAATAAATAAGGGTTGTCTCCATACAAACGTACTTTTACACTATAATTGTTCATAGAAAATTGAACCGTGTTTACATAACTATAAGACACATAGTCGCTTTTAACCTACTTCCAGATGTCCTAGAACTTTGAAATTTGGAATACAGCTCTGTTATTGTGTGTAACCAATGGGAAAAATCCAAAAGTAACAAAAAGTTCATAAATAAGTGGTGTTCCCATACAAACGTTATTTTCTACTGTTATTGTTCATAGGAAATTGAACCGTGTTTTCATAGACTTAAGACACACAGTCGCTTATACAAAAGAAAAATATTGTTTTTATTTTTTTAGAAATACGTATAATTATAGTAACCTTAATAACCATGGTAATCCAGTCCCAATCTCCAATCCCCAATCCCCAATCTCCAATCCGTTCGGCAATGTATTTT